GGAGCAGCGGCGGCAGCTCAAGTGGAAGATGAGCAGCGTGACGCCGAACGTCGTCAAACACACGGTCGGCCGGTCGCACTTCAAGGCCACCAAGAGTGAGTCTGTCAGGTTGTGTTGTTGTTGTTGTTGTTGTTGTTGTGTTAGTGATGCAGACACAACCGGGTCGAAGTCGCACAACAGATGTTTGAACCGTTCGACCTGTTTCTGTTGATTCTGGAGTTTTTAACAAAATGCAGAAACGACATCAGTCAGTTTGCAGTTTGTGGTCTTTCTGGTCTTTTTGTGCGTCTTTGCGGTTGTTTGTCTCTCTTTTTTTTTTTTTGCCAACTCTTTGCGTTTGAGTAATTTTACATTTTGTGTCTCTTTTCGTCAGTTTAAGTCTCTTTCTGGTCGTTTTGTGTGTCCTTGCAGTCGTTTTGCATCTTTTTTTTTGTAGTTTGTGTCTCTTTCTTGTTGTGTTTCTGTTTTTATTGTTTCTGTTTTTGTTAATTTTGTGTGTCTGTGCATTTGTCTTTCTTTTTTTTATTGTGTGTCTCTGGTGTTTCATCACAGTCTTCTGACTCTTGGTATTTGTTTAGAGCATTCTTGTGTGTCTGTTTTCACTGATTGTGCTGCTTTTGTGTTCATTTTGTGTTTCTTTTATATTTGTTTTGTCTCTGGTCAGGTTGTGTCTGTTTCTGTTTGTGTGTCTGTTTTCACTGATTCCGTTTATGTTCACTTTGCGTGTCTTTGTCTTCAGTTCTTTCTCTTTCTGCTCTTTTTGTGTCTTTGTCACAGTTTTCTGGCTGTTGCTGTTTGTTCTGAATAGTTTTGTCTCTTTGTCGTTGTTGTGTGTCTGTTTTTATGGGTTGTGCGTGTGTTTGTGTTTCTTGTCTCTTTTTTTATTGGTCAGTCTCAGGATGGTTTTAGTGTAAAGTGAAGCGTCTGAGCTAATCCTGGATGGTGTGTTTGTTCCTGCAGAAAGCCACGACTGGTTGGGCTGCTGGGGTCACCACATGAAGTCTCCGGCCTTCAAGACGCTCAGCGAGCACCAGAAGGTAAGAACCAGCTTCAGACCGCTCGTCTGAGGTCCGGACGTACACCTAACGAGGCTTGTTTTGTTTTCGTCTCGCCGTAGCTGAACCACTTCCCGGGAACCTTCCAGATCGGCAGGAAGGACCGTCTGTGGAGGAACCTGTCCAAGATGCAGGTTCGCTTCGGCAAACAGGAGTTCAGCTTCTTCCCGCGAACCTTCATCCTCCCTCAGGACATCAAGCTGCTCAGAAAAGCCTGGGAGGACAGCGGCTCCAAGCAGAAGTGGATCATCAAACCGGTGCGCTCGCAGATCAGTTTATCCAGACTAGTTTCACATCATCCAGGTGTTTTGGAGTTTCTGGCTCCAGGTTTGTAGGTCAAGAGTTATGACAGTTTTCACTGTTTATGTCTTTATCCAATTTGACTTTAGATTTTTCCAGAATAAGGAGAAAATGTTCAATATGACGTCCAAAGAGTAATTCAGAAATGATCTAAAGGCACAAAAAAAGTTCTTCATGACCAAAACTGTGTCCAAAAAACTTCTAAAATGACTGAGAATGATCCCAAACTAGTCTTGAATAACAAGAAAAAGGTCCAAAATTACCAAAGAAATGTCCAAAGCGACCCAAAACTTGTCCAAAATCGTTCAACGATTATCCACATTAACTTAAAATTTGTCCAAAATTGTCCAAGTGTTCTGGATTTTCTGGTTCAGGTCCACAAGTCTAGAGTTACAGAAGTTTTCTTTCTTAATTTTTGTCCAGCTTGACCTAAAACTTGGTCCAAAAGCACAAAAAAAGTTCCATAATTACCAAAGAAATGTCTGGAATGAGTAAAAACGTGACCAAAGTAAAGGAGAATAATTCAAAGTGGTTCTCAGCTGCGTTAGTTTTCCTTTCAGTGCTCTAACTCGTTGTTCTGGTTCTGCTCTGGTCTCCACCAGCCGGCCTCAGCCAGAGGAATCGGGATCCAGGTGATCCACAAGTGGAGCCAGATGCCCCGGAAGAGGCCGCTGCTGGTCCAGAAGTAGGTCGCTGTCCGCCGGTCGGATCCTCCAGAACCCGACCCAGGCCGTCCAGCTAAAGTGTCCCGTTGTGTCTGCAGGTATCTCCACAAGCCCTACCTCATCAGCGGGAACAAGTTCGACCTGCGGATCTACGTCTACGTGACGTCCTACGACCCGCTCAGGATCTACATCTTCTCCGACGGACTGGTCCGATTCGCCAGCTGCAAGTGAGCCCGTTTCAGACCAACTGGACATGTTTGAAATGACTCAGGACTTGTCCAGAATGACTTCACAGAGGTCCAAAATACACAAAAAGGACTTTCACCACCCAGAAATGTTCCATAATAACTTAAAATATGTCCAGAATGATTTGAAATTTGTCCTTAATGACAAAACATTTTTCAGAACTTTAAAAGTGTCCAAAATACACAAAAACTTTAAAAATGACCTAAACGTGTCCAGTGACTGAAAAACGGCTCAAAATCTTTAAAAATGCTAAAAATGTTTCTAAATAACTGAGAATTTGTTCAAAATAATGTCCAAAATACACAAAAAAGATTTAATCGACCTAAACATGTCCAGTTACTTAAAAATGTTTAAAAATCGCTCCGTAATTTTCAGTAATCACTTAAAAATTGGCGAAATTGGTAAACTTTTTTCTAAATGACTTCAGATTTGTAAAAAGTAGTGTCAAAAAAACAGAATATTTATCCAAAATGACTAAAATAACGTCAAAAAGGACTTTTACGTTTCCAGGATGACTCAAGACTTTGACTCTTTAAAACTTTGAAAGTGTCCAAAATACACTTTAAAGAAAAAAGACCTAAGTAGACCTAGAATTACTCAAAAATGATTCATTCAGTAGTTTTCCATAATAACTTAATTTTTCTGAATGACTGAGAATTTGTTCAAAATAATGTCCAAAAAAACAGAATATTTATCTGAAATGACACTAAACTGACTTGAAACTCCTCCGAAATGACTTAAATAACGTCAAAAAGGACTTTTACGTTTCTGCGGTTACTCAAGACGTGTCCAGAAGGATTTTAATTGTCCAAAATACACAAAATTTAAAATTAAAAATTAAAAAGAGCACGACCTAAATGTGTCCAGAATTATTCAAAAATGATCCCGAATCGTTCAATAATTTATAATCATTTAAATATTGTCCAAAGTGACATAAAATGTCCCCGATGACTTTGAAACTTGTCCAGAAATACCTGAAGCTGTTTGTAATGAGGACCTCTGTGATGTCCTCCTCCTGGAGATCTGTGTGAGAAAATGTCCAAAAGACTCAACATTTGTCTGAAACTATAAAAAAACATCTAATTTAACGTCCAGATGGACTTTTAGCAGCCGTTGAACAGACTGAAGAACAGGAAGCAGCATTTGGACTCTCTGGCTTTGTGTCCGTCTGCAGGTATTCGTCTTCCATGAAGACTCTGAGCAACAAGTTCATGCATCTGACCAACTACAGCGTCAACAAGAAGAACTCCGAGTACCAGGCCAACAGCGACGACAAGGCCTGCCAGGGACACAAATGGTACCGCAGACGACGGGTTCTGACCAGAGACTACAGCTGGTTCTCCTGCAGCAGACGGTAAACTGACGCCTGCTGGTGTGTTTCTGTGGTTTCAGGGCTCTGAAGGCCTTGTGGCAGTTTCTGGGTTCAAAGGGAATCAACACCACGCTGATCTGGGAGAAGATTAAAGACATCGTCATCAAAACCGTCATCGCGTAAGTCTGCTTCAGCATTCCTCAGAATGACCCAAAACATGTCCAGAATGACCCAAAACGTGTCCAGAATGACCCAAAAATGTCCCAAATGGGCCAAAACATGTCCCTAATAGCTCAACAATGTCCCAAATGTGTCCAAAATCATCAGATCTTCACAGGTGACTGAAGTGTTTTACATGTTCGGACCGAACTTGTACCTTCAGTCAGTAATGAATAATAATAATCTGTCCTCAGGTCGGAGCCGTACGTCAACAGTCTGATGAAGGCCAACGTCCGCTCGTCCTACTGCTGCCACGAACTGTTCGGCTTCGACATCATGCTGGACGAGAACCTCAAGCCCTGGATCCTGGAGGTGAACATATCGCCAAGGTAACGCCACCAACCGGGTTCACAGGACATCAAATGAATCAGAAAAACCAGCTGGTTCTGGATCTGCAGAACCTTCATCTACTGACCAGAGTTCTACCTTCAGACTGTGAATGTTCCAGAGGTCCAGGTCCTTGAAGTCCACAGAGGAGGGTCCAGATTGATCACCTTAATGGACTTTTTCCATCATTTCTGAGCCTCAGAACTTCATCAGTACAGCAGATAGACACATGACATTTAGGAGGAAGAACACATCTGGGTTCTGCTAGAACCTGACACCAGATCAGCTCAAAAAAGATGCAAAATTACCAGAAATAGATGCAAGATGATCACAAAAAGGCACAAAATCACCACAGAGATTAAAAATCACAACAAAAAGAGACAAAATCACTAAAAAAACATGAAAAATTATGACAAAAATACACAAAATCACCACAAAAAGATACAAAATTACCAGAAAAAGGGCCCCACCTCTGTGTACGTCAGTAATTCAAAGCATGAAGGTAAAACTTTGCTTCATTAAATAACGTTTCTGGAGATGATTTTTAGATTTTCGTCTCTGAACCTTCTCCAGCCTTCACTCCAACACGGCGCTGGACGTCTCCGTTAAAGGCCAGATGATCAGAGATCTGCTGAACCTGGCCGGCTTTCGGATTCCTGCCAGAGAAGACGTGGCGACGCCCTGCAGCAGCGCCTCCAGCTCCACCAGCAGGTGAGGAGGAGCTACTGCACCTGGTTGAAGCTGTCGCAGCGTAGCGCCGCTTCAACGGTCGTCCAAAGGATCCAAAACGGGTCCACAGTACCAAGAAGTGTACCGAAATGACTTAAAGTTTGTCCAGAATGAGTCAAGAACTGTCCATAAGAACAAAGCTTTGTCCAAAATTACTTGAAATGTGTCCAGAGTAAATCAGGAATTGTTCAAAATAAGAAAAAAAATATCCCAAATGACTCAAATTGTCCAGAATTACCAAAATAAAAATAGGTCCAAAATAACACAAATGATCCAAAATGACTTAGATATTGTTTAAAATAACTGAAAATGGTCCAAAATGACTTAAGATTTGTCTGAAATAAGTCTAAAAATGTCCAGAACCAGAGTCTAGAATGACTCTCAAGTTGTCCAGAATAACAGAAACGATCCAAAACGAGTCCAGAAATGCCTCAAACCAACTTTGAGCTTCATTATTATGAGATAAACTTTAAAGGTGTCCTTTGGGTAAACTTCCAGGGTTTAAATCAGGTGGCTGAAGTTCTGCTCTTCAGTAAATATCATCTGGGACCTGATTAATGAAACCTGCAGCCTCACAGATGAGCTTATCGTTGAATCTTTGTGTGTTTTGTGTTTTTCAGTTTGTGTGGAGGGAACCGAGACCGAAGCAAACACGAACTGTCTGCAGACGAGAAGGTGAAGCGGGCCTTTTACCTGACGCAGCGCTACGCCGACCAGGTGAGCAAACACACCGAGTCCTCCAACAGGACGTCACACCGGCACACAGGATGGAAACTCTCAGACCAAGTGGAGAATTAATGAGAGTCTCTGTCTCCTCTCGTCAGGACTTCGTCGCCTCCGTTTTGGACGTTTTGACTCCAGAGGACGTTCGAGTTCTGGCCGAGAGCGAAGACGAGTTGAGTCGCAGAGGAGAGTTCGAGAGAATCTTCCCGTCGCCGTCGTCGTCGCGCTACCTTCGCTTCTTCGAGTGTCCCAGATACCTGAACCTCCTGCTGAACCAGTGGGAGCAGAAGCACTGGAACGACCGGACCAAGTGTACGTCTTCCTCACTCAGTTCTGTGACGTAGTGACGGCTGGAAAAGGGACAAAACTAACACACAGAAACACAAAACCACCACAAAACAATGTAAAGTCTGCACAAAGCAGCCACAAGCATCAGTTTGATCATGAAGGTCGTCCATATCCAGGTCACTGACATGGATGTAGGCTGTAGTTCTACATGCTGGAGCCCAGGAGCTCCTCTGAAGCAGCAGAACCAGATGTTCCATAAGTCCTGTGTTCTCGGTGCAGGTATCGGTCTGCTGAGGACGCTGTGTCAGAAGGGAGTCCACCTGGGAACCAGCGATCCTGCTCACATGGTGAGTCGCTCAGTAGACCAGTAGATCAGAGGTGGAGGGAAACGTACCGAACCGACTGCTCTGAACCTCTTCTGTCTGTCTGTCTGTCTGTCTGTCCAGTGGTCCAAGTGCAGCTACGTCTCCAGGTTCGAGGCCCACAGACAGGATCCGGTCAGCCCATCCAGATCCAGGTACAAACACCTGACAGGGAACAGGTGTCAGGACGGCACTTATGATGATGTCCTGACATCCCCACCAGGGCTGGGTTTGGGTTCTGGTAATGCTGATCAGTCAACTAGTCACGTTTACAGAGAGTCCAGATGTGTGTAACGTCAGTCTGACCAGTTAGAGTCCTCTGTAGGAAGTCAGACGTCACTCATCAGACACTTGTGATGCAGTCCTGATGTCCCTCATGAGCTGTGGACATCCAGGAGCACCACAACTCGCTGACACATGACGTTACGTCTGCTTAGAGTGGTCTAGGATGTAGACGTTGGCAGTAGATGACCTGTCCTGTGTGCTTCTGCAGGGTGGTGGTCTCCCTCCAGCACCGCTCCCACCGCCACGACGACGACGGTTCGGACCGGGAGGTGGCCTCGGTGTCCAGCCTCCCCGCCTCCCCCAGTCCCGGATCCAGCGTCCCCAGCAGTGCCTGCACCAGCCCCCAGCCCAGCCCCGCCCAGAGCCTGCTGCCCCAGCAGTTCGCCTCGCTCTGATCGGACCGGAACAAGCTCAGGGTCTCATCCAGCCTCCTCACAGAACACCCTCCACCGACCTGCCACGTCTCCCAAAGACGACGAGGAAGCGCGACGGCGACTTTACACCGATGAGATTTTATGCACAAAGTGGCTCTTAAACAAAAATCCAGTGATTCAGGTTTACTGCCACAGCACTGAAGACATCACATTCACAGAACCAGACCAGTGTTCCCAATCAAACCACTAACATGCCAACCACTGTTCAAGACATGAGCCTCTGTGTGGCGTGAACATCGTCCTGCTAAGACTTGAACCACGTCGGAGTCCTTCAGTGACGGCTCAGTTTGTCCAGTGATGCGGTGCCGAGCGGCGGCTTTATCGGAGCGTTCCCTGTGTCTCGTTAGCATCGTTAGCATTTGAACCTGACAACACCAAACACAGAGCACTTGTCCTGCAGGAGACTTTAACTCAGTGCAGTCAAACACTGATTAAAAAAAAAAGAAATCTACCTGCACTTGATGTGCATGTAGCTAACATCCCCGTCGTCTCCCGGTGCTGCTGCCACGCTGGAAGTCCTGCTCTGTTTACATGCCAAGCGCTGTCTGCGATGAGCTAAACCCCTGAACTGTGTCCAAACGGCGACTCCTTGCCCCAATTTTACTTTTTGGGATGCGGAGGGAGTCGCAGGGAGGCAGATCTTACTAGAACGGCGAACGGTCGTGGTGTCGTCGGCAAAAAAGTTGCGGACTTGCGTTCTTATTCTGCATCATTCTGACCAATAACAGCCACAGTTTAGCTGCAGACTCCACGTATCAGACACCTACACTGCAGCCTTGACATCCTTTGCCGGACAGCTTAACATTATGTCCAGCCATTTTAACATTTAGTTTGTCTGTCTGGTATAAAACTAAACCTGAACTATCCATCGTAGCTGTCAGACTCCACTTAGCAGACGCGTACCGGACCGTCTTAGCTCTCTCCAGACAGCTAAACGCTCTGTTGGGAAACATGGCTGCCATATACAGTTTTGATTGCGGTGCCATAGTGTGTTTGAAAAAAAAAAACATTTTTAAAAAGCGAGCCGATTTCCGTAGCTTCTGTTTTTTCATCCATCACAAACAGTCCCAGAACTTTTTGATCGCACAAAGTACGAGCTAGCTGCACGCCCGCTGAATAGCTTACTAACTAGCGACGCGACCGTCTCTCGCGGCGTTGCATCCCGCTGTGCTGACTCATCACTTTCCTTGAACTGCTTTTGTTTTTAAACCACGTGCCAAGATCCAGCGATCCCACCTGCTGCTCGACCGGCCTTAAACTGTGAATATCGGAGGTTTGCACGAAGCAGCGCTGCCAGGAACGCTAGCGCGCCGTACGCTAACGACAACAACAACAACAACACTGTGATCACTTCTCTGGTGTCTTTAAATCCGACTGTTGGTGTTTTTAAAGGACTGTTGTCGTCACATTCCTGCCTTACGGACTGTAGCGCGGAGAAAACACACAAAGAACCAGGAAGCCGGAGGGACTGAGAGACGAGGAGCTGCTGTACTAACATGTTTGAGACTTTAGTGGCTGCTGTGTTTAACAGAAACCTACAGCGTGTTTGACACCATCAGATACTCACTTCCTGTTCTGACCTGCATGCTGGGAGACAAACGTCAGAGTTTATCTCAGAGCAGCTTTTTGTTTTCTTTTTTTTCAAACAAGGGGGCTTTTCTGTTTCTACACAAATTCTAGGATTCCTTCAAAAGCTGCCAAAATACCAGTAAAGCAGCAGAACTTACAGGATCATTCTGCTGTCTTTGTGCTAACTTTGTCCTCTGATGTACAGGTGGAGGCCAATAAAACGGCATCAGCAAGTGGAAAACTGTCCCAAAAAATATCCAAAATAATAAGAATTGGCTCCAAGTGACAACGAATTTGTCAAAAATGAGACTAAAATTGTTCAAAATGACTCAAAAACTGAGTGAAATGACAAAAATGTGTTTGAAATCAGATAAAAATGGTCAAAAATGACTCTATAGTTGCCTTAAAATGATTCAAACTGATCTAAAATGACTAAAAAATGTCCAAAATGACTGATTTCACACAGAAAATGACTCTATAGTTGCCTTAAAATGATTCAAACTGATCTAAAATGACTAAAAAATGTCCAAAATGACTGATTTCACACAGACTCAGNTTGGCTCCAAGTGACAACGAATTTGTCAAAAATGAGACTAAAATTGTTCAAAATGACTCAAAAACTGAGTGAAATGACAAAAATGTGTTTGAAATGAGATAAAATTGGTCAAAAATGACTCTATAGTTGCCTTAAAATGATTCAAACTGATCTGAAATGACTAAAAAATGTCCAAAATGACTGATTTCACACAGACTCAGATTGTCCAACATGCTGCTCACAGCTTGTCGTCAGAGACTAAAACTTTACAGTGTGAAAGAAATAAACAGAAACGAACCACCTGGAAGTGTTAACGGAGAAGAACGATGAAGCTTTGAGTCCATTTGGACAGTTTTCTAAACACATTTGACCATTTGAGTCCAAGTTTTTTAACATTTTGGGCATTTAAAAAACTTATTTGGATCATTTTAATGTATTTTTGACGTCATTTTGGCCGAAGCGTTGAACTAAAATAAGACAAAGAGGACAAAGTGAACACAACAGACACCTTCAATAAACCAGAACTCTCTGAAACCTGCACGTTTTCCTTGAAAGCGTCACCAGACTGCTGCTCAGTTACGGCGTTCTTATTGTTTCCTCAGGAAATGAATTCCATAAATCTCGTCTGCTGTGAGACAAACAAGTACTTGAAGTGTTCGGGTTCGTCTTCTCCTGAAGTTTATCGTAACAGACTGACGTGCAGCGAGTCGGCGCTCAGACATCGGCCCGCTGGAAGTCAAAGATTTTAGTAACTAATGGGATAAAAACAGCAAACGAATGACCGTTAATGTGTTTTTGCTCAATAAGAACGACGTGAACATTTGGAAATATGATGAAATTTTGCTGGTTAATTGTTGTGGCGGCATGTTGGGGCCAGTGTAGTTTTTCAAACGATGAATACCTGAAAAAATGAATTTATTATCTGTGAGAATATGCAAGTTTTTGTGAATTAGTTTTTCTATCACAAATTAAAATGTCCTCATCTAAGAATATGCAAGTTGGTAAATATGTGAATTTATTCTTAGAATCTTTTTTTTCCTCACAAATGTAGATCCTTATAATCTCAGAGAATTCTCAATTTTCTGGTAAGTTTTTGGCACAAATTTATATTATATTCACAAAATATGCACTTTTTTTTTCTCAGCAGTTTATGAGAGTATTGAACTTTATAATAAATAAATGAAATTAATCTTTAATTTATCTCTAATGTCAGATGATTTTCAGCCTTTTTCCTCATGAGTTTAATCTCCTCTGAGTATTCCCTCCCTGGCTCAGTCGTATTGGTCAGAACACGTCGTCATGGCAACGGGAAACTGACCAAACTGCTGCAGCGACCGAGACTCAGTTTGTGATTCACTTCCTTCTGTTTCTTTACAGCAGCATCTTTAATTCAAGAAACACAAACAGGCCGGTGCAGCTGGTTTTCTGTGTTTTTTACTCAACTCAAACATCTATTATTCAGTCTCTATCGATACCTTTGACTAAAATACAGAAAGTCAGCTCGTCCTTCAAGCCCTGATTGTTTTTATCAGATTCTGGTCGCTCGCTGCCGTCACGTCTGTTTGCTGCTTTACAGAGTTTATTTATCACACGGTTCAATAACGCTGCATCGGAGGTTGTTTCTAACACCAGTGACATGTCAGATGTGCAGATTGTGATATTTTTACTAACTGACAGATGTCACGTTTCCACGTTAAAGGGCTGTTTCAAGTGCTCAGGATGACAATTATAGAAAATAAAAGATATTTGTGGTACAAGTCTGATGATTGGTCTTTGTGTGAGTGATTCAATGACCAGTTTATTCCCAAACAATAGTT